AACTTGATATCTACCAGATCGACAATCGGCCTCGCCCGTCACTCGCGCGTCACTCTCTGCGCTCACGGCTGCAGCAGAAGCTGCTCGAGCTCGGCGCGCACCCACGCGCACGTCGCTCGCTCGCTAGGCAGGGCGTGCGTACACGCGCTGACCACACCTGCAAGCCGGCTTTCATCGGGCACACACGGGCGGGTGAAGCCGTTCGCGACGATTGCGTCGAGCTCGTGTCGGAGGCGCGAGTCGCACTTGCCTGGCGCGTCGCCCGTGGCGAAGTGGTACGGGTCGCAGACGCCCGACGGCGCCTCGAGCGCAGCCAGGACACACCCTAGCGACCAGGCGTCGGTGCCACGCGAAAGCGGCACGACTGCAAAGTCGCGGGCCACCCGCACCTGCTCGGGCGCCCGCCAACCCGGCGTGCCTGAGTGCGAGAGCTGCGCCCCAACGGCTAGTCGCCTCGCCTGCCCAAAGTCACACAGCTTAGCGACAAGCCCCTCAGAGCGCGCCGACAGCAGCACGTTCGATGGCTTGAGGTCAAGGTGCACGATGGGGGGAGATCGCGTGTGCAGGTACGACATTGCTCTTGCAATCTGCACGCCGAGGGAGCGGCTCTCGCCCCTCTGATCCCCGATCAACAAATCTCCCAGAGTCCCTGCGTCGGCATAGTCGAGAGCGAGGAACGGCGTCTCGCGCGGGGCGCATGCAAAGCCCATCACATAGATGATGTTCTCATGGTGTAGTGCTGCCGCGATCTGACACTCGGAGGCAAAGGCGCTGCTCGCGCGCAGCGGCTGCTTCACCGCGAGACGACCACCGTAGTGGCGGCCAAGCCTAACGGTGCCTTGGCCGCCCTTGCCGAGGCGACCCTGGCTGCTGCCAAAGGCGATGTCGCGCAGGGCGAGGCCGCCGTACCGGCTCGCGGTCGGCGCCAAAGGCGGGATCGGAGCGACGAGGCGAGGAGCAATTGTAGGTGGAAGAGCGGCGAGGGGCGGCGGAAGTGCCAAGCTCGGCTGCCTCGCGACGAGCAGGTGGCCCCTGCCGTGCTGGCCGAGGGCCCGTGGCCGAGGGACGGTAGACGGAATCGGGACGGGAACGAGAGCCGCAGGAGCAGCGTCAGGCACCGCGAGGGCGGCGGCCTCCGCTCTCGTTTTCTTGAGTCTGCGTCTGTACTCGACCTTCTCGGCCCTGCGGTCACGGCCCCGATCGCCCCTATCATCCGGATTGGCGCGTCTATACACGGCCTCAGCGCGTGCCTGCGCCGCGGATCGCTCCCTTTTCGGCATGTCGTTGCATGTCAAGAACCCAGTGTCGGGAGCGAAGGCGCGAGTGGTGACACGCCCGCAACCTTTGAGCACCTGCGTCCCCCACCAGACATAAATCGTCCCCCACCAGACATCGAAGTCAAATGTCAAAGACACCTCTAGGGACTGGCAAAGTGGGCTGCCACACCCACAAAGATGCAGAAAAAGGGGACACCGGCGTGACGTGGCCTCTCGACGGGTTTGTTGAAGCAGAACTTGGTTCGGCGCACGAGCGAGCACGTCGACGCCAACTTGAGCCGCTGCTCTCGCCCAGCAGCGGGTGCTCGCCGCTGTCCACGGACGCGGCTCGTCCGGCGGCGCGGTGCCGCCGGCTGCAGCGACGGCTGTCCCGGCCGTCGCGTCCTCGAGAGAAGCGAGCGAGCCGGCAGCAGAGCCCGCATGGCCCTCACCGCCACAGCCGCTCTGCCTGCTAACCTCGCTCTCGCCGCCGCCGCCTGCAGCGGCGCCTCCGCGGCATCGAGAGGACCCGGCCCGCGGCCGCGCCTCGTCGAGCGCCTCGTTGACGCCCTCGGCGACGCCTCCTCGCGTCGCATGCCCGTGCGTGGCGACCGCACCGCCGGCAGAGCTTGAGCGGTCCTCCACGCCACCCCGAGACTGCCCGGCGATGGTGCCTCCGCCGCCGCGCGTTGCCGCCGCTGCCTCGCAGCGGCTCTGTGCCTCGGCGCCGAGCCGAGACATGCCAGGCGGCCCGCCACCGCCCACCGAGACGAGGCCCCTCCCCTCGTCGTGCACTGCGTCGCTCGCGCCTCTGCCAAAGCGATCTCGATCACGCTTTGCGGCGACGGCGCGATCGACGCCGACTTGAGCCGCTGCTCTCGCCCAGCAGCGGGTGCTCGCCGCTGTCCACGGACGCGGCTCGTCCGGCGGCGCGGTGCCGCCGGCTGCAGCGACGGCTGTCCCGGCCGTCGCGTCCTCGAGAGAAGCGAGCGAGCCGGCAGCAGAGCCCGCATGGCCCTCACCGCCACACCCGCTCTGCCTGCTGACCTCGCTCTCGCCGCCGCCGCCTGCAGCGGCGCCTCCGCGGCATCGAGAGGACACGGTCCGCGGCCGCGCCTCGCCTAGCGCCTCGTCGACGCCCTCGGCGACGCCTCCTCGCGTCGCGTGCCCGTGCGTGGCGGCCGCACCGCCGGCAGAGCTCGAGTGGCCCTCCACGCCACCCCGAGACTGCCCGGCGATGGTGCCTCCGCCGCCGCGCGTTGCCGCCGCTGCCTCGCAGCGGCTCTGTGCCTCGGCGCCGAGCCGAGACATGCCAGGCGGCCCGCCGCCGCCCACCGAGACGAGGCCCCTCCCCTCGTCGTGCACTGCGTCGCTCGCGCCTCTGCCAAAGCGATCTCGATCACGCTTTGCGGCGACGGCGCCATCGACGCCAACTTGAGCCGCTGCTCTCGCCCAGCAGCGGGTGCTCGCCGCTGTCCACGGACGCGGCTCGTCCGGCGGCGCGGTGCCGCCGGCTGCAGCGACGGCTGTCCCGGCCGTCGCGTCCTCGAGAGAGGCGAGCGAGCCGGCAGCAGAGCCCGCATGGCCCTCACCGCCACAGCCGCTCTGCCTGCTGACCTCGCTCTCGCCGCCGCCGCCTGCAGCGGCGCCTCCGCGGCTCCGAGAGGACCCGGCCCGCGGCCGCGCCTCGTCGAGCGCCTCGTCGACGCCCTCGGCGACGCCTCCTCGCGTCGCGTGCCCGTGCGTGGCGACCGCACCGCCGGCAGAGCTTGAGCGGTCCTCCACGCCACCCCGAGACTGCCCGGCGATGGTGCCTCCGCCGCCGCGCGTTGCCGCTGCTGCCTCGCAGCGGCTCTGTGCCTCGGCGCCGAGCCGAGACATGCCAGGCGGCCCGCCGCCGCCCACCGAGACGAGGCCCCTCCCCTCGTCGTGCACTGCGTCGCTCGCGCCTCCGCCAAAGCGATCTCGATCACGCTTTGCGGCGACGGCGCCATCGACGCCGACTTGAGCCGCTGCTCTCGCCCAGCAGCGGGTGCTCGCCGCTGTCCACGGACGCGGCTCGTCCGGCGGCGCGGTGCCGCCGGCTGCAGCGACGGCTGTCCCGGCCGTCGCGTCCTCGAGAGAGGCGAGCGAGCCGGCAGCAGAGCCCGCATGGCCCTCACCGCCACAGCCGCTCTGCCTGCTGACCTCGCTCTCGCCGCCGCCGCCTGCAGCGGCGCCTCCGCGGCTCCGAGAGGACCCGGTCCGCGGCCGCGCCTCGTCGAGCGCCTCGTCGACGCCCTCGGCGACGCCTCCTCGCGTCGCGTGCCCGTGCGTGGCGGCCGCACCGCCGGCAGAGCTCGAGTGGCCCTCCACGCCACCCCGAGACTGCCCGGCGATGGTGCCTCCGCCGCCGCGCGTTGCCGCCGCTGCCTCGCAGCGGCTCTGTGCCTCGGCGCCGAGCCGAGACATGCCAGGCGGCCCGCCGCCGCCCACTGAGACGAGGCCCGTTCCCTCGTCATGCACCGCGTCGCTCGCGCCTCCGTCAAAGCGATCTCGAGCACGCTTTGCGGCGACGGCTCCATCGACGCCGACTTGCGCCGCTGCTCTCGCCCAGCAGCGGGTGCTCGCCGCTGTCCACGGACGCGGCTCGTCCGGCGGCGCGGTGCCGCCGGCTGCAGCGACGGCTGTCCCGGCCGTCGCGTCCTCGAGAGAAGCGAGCGAGCCGGCAGCAGAGCCCGCATGGCCCTCACCGCCACAGCCGCTCTGCCTGCTGACCTCGCTCTCGCCGCCGCCGCCTGCAGCGGCGCCTCCGCGGCATCGAGAGGACACGGTCCGCGGCCGCGCCTCGTCGAGCGCCTCGTCGACGCCCTCGGCGACGCCTCCTCGCGTCGCGTGCCCGTGCGTGGCGACCGCACCGCCGGCAGAGCTCGAGTGGCCCTTCACGCCACCCCGAGACTGCCCGGCGATGGTGCCTCCGCCGCCGCGCGTTGCCGCCGCTGCCTCGCAGCGGCTCTGTGCCTCGGCGCCGAGCCGAGACATGCTCGGCGGCCCGCCGCCGCCCACCGAGACGAGGCCCGTCCCCTCGTCGTGCACCGCGTCGCTCGCGCCTCCGCCAAAGCGATCTCGATCACGCTTTGTGGCGACGGCGCCATCGACGCCGACTTGCGCCGCTGCTCTCGCCCAGCAGCGGGTGCTCGCCGCTGTCCACGGACGCGGCTCGTCCGGCGGCGCGGTGCCGCCGGCTGCAGCGACGGCTGTCCCGGCCGTCGCGTCCTCGAGAGAAGCGAGCGAGCCGGCAGCAGAGCCCGCATGGCCCTCACCGCCACAGCCGCTCTGCCTGCTGACCTCGCTCTCGCCGCCGCCGCCTGCAGCGGCGCCTCCGCGGCATCGAGAGGACACGGTCCGCGGCCGCGCCTCGCCTAGCGCCTCGTCGACGCCCTCGGCGACGCCTCCTCGCGTCGCGTGCCCGTGCGTGGCGGCCGCACCGCCGGCAGAGCTCGAGTGGCCCTCCACGCCACCCCGAGACTGCCCGGCGATGGTGCCTCCGCCGCCGCGCGTTGCCGCCGCTGCCTCGCAGCGGCTCTGTGCCTCGGCGCCGAGCCGAGACATGCCAGGCGGCCCGCCGCCGCCCACCGAGACGAGGCCCGTCCCCTCGTCGTGCACCGCGTCGCTCGCGCCTCCGCCAAAACGATCTCGATCACGCTTTGTGGCGACGGCGCCATCGACGCCAACTTGCGCCGCTGCTCTCGCCCAGCAGCGGGTGCTCGCCGCTGTCCACGGACGCGGCTCGTCAGGCGGCGCGGTGCCGCCGGCTACAGCGACGGCTGTCCCGGCCGTCGCGTCCTCGAGAGAGGCGAGCGATCCGGCAGCAGAGCCCGCATGGCCCTCACCGCCACAGCCGCTCTGCCTGCTGACCTCGCTCTCGCCGCCGCCGCCTGCAGCGGCGCCTCCGCGGCTCCGAGAGGACCCGGCCCGCGGCCGCGCCTCGTCGAGCGCCTCGTCGACGCCCTCGGCGACGCCTCCTCGCGTCGCGTGCCCGTGCGTGGCGGCCGCACCGCCGGCAGAGCTTGAGCGGCCCTCCACGCCACCCCGAGACTGCCCGGCGATGGTGCCTCCGCCGCCGCGCGTTGCCGCCGCTGCCTCGCAGCGGCTCTGTGCCTCGGCGCCGAGCCGAGACATGCCAGGCGGCCCGCCACCGCCCACTGAGACGAGGCCCGCCCCCTCGTCGTGCACCGCGTCGCTCGCGCCTCCGCCAAAGCGATCTCGATCACGCTTTGCGGCGACGGCGCCATCGACGCCGACTTGCGCCGCTGCTCTCGCCCAGCAGCGGGTGCTCGCCGCTGTCCACGGACGCGGCTCGTCCGGCGGCGCGGTGCCGCCGGCTGCAGCGACGGCTGTCCCGGCCGTCGCGTCCTCGAGAGAGGCGAGCGAGCCGGCAGCAGAGCCCGCATGGCCCTCACCGCCACAGCCGCTCTGCCTGCTGACCTCGCTCTCGCCGCCGCCGCCTGCAGCGGCGCCTCCGCGGCATCGAGAGGACACGGTCCGCGGCCGCGCCTCGTCGAGCGCCTCGTCGACGCCCTCGGCGACGCCTCCTCGCGTCGCGTGCCCGTGCGTGGCGACCGCACCGCCGGCAGAGCTCGAGTGGCCCTTCACGCCACCCCGAGACTGCCCGGCGATGGTGCCTCCGCCGCCGCGCGTTGCCGCTGCTGCCTCGCAGCGGCTCTGTGCCTCGGCGCCGAGCCGAGACATGCCAGGCGGCCCGCCGCCGCCCACCGAGACGAGGCCCGTCCCCTCGTCGTGCACCGCGTCGCTCGCGCCTCTGTCAAAGCGATCTCGATCACGCTTTGCGGCGACGGCGCCATCGACGCCGACTTGAGCCGCTGCTCTCGCCCAGCAGCGGGTGCTCGCCGCTGTCCACGGACGCGGCTCGTCCGGCGGCGCACTGCCGCCGGCTGCAGCGACGGCTGTCCCGGCCGTCGCGTCCTCTTGAGAGGCGAGCGATCCTCTGATCCTTTGACCCTCTGATCCTCTGACCGTCTGATCCTCTGGTCCTCTGGTCCTCTGATCCTCTGATCCTCTGATCCTCTGATCCTCTGATCCTCTGATCCTCTGATCCTCTGATCCTCTGATCCTCTGGTCCTCTGATCCTCTGATCCTCCGACCCCCTGATCCTCTGACCCTCTGACCTTCTGACCCTCTGATCCTCTGCGAGCCGGCAGCAGAGCCCGCATGGCCCTCACCGCCACAGCCGCTCTGCCTGCTGACCTCGCTCTCGCCGCCGCCGCCTGCAGCGGCGCCTCCGCGGCCCCGAGAAGACCCGGCCCGCGGCCGCGCCTCGCTTAGCGCCTCGTCGACGCCCTCGGCGACGCCTCCTCGCGTCGCGTGTCCGTGAGCGGCGGCCGCACCGCCGGCAGAGCTCGAGTGGCCCTCCACGCCACCCCGGGACTGCCCGGCGCTGGTGCCTCCGCCGCCGTGCCTTGCCGCCGCTGCCTCGCAGCGGCTCTGTGCCTCGGCGCCGAGCCGAGACATGCCAGGCGGCGTGATGCCGCCCCAGCAAATCCTGTCGTCCGCAGCGTCAAGACTAACTTGAGCAAGTATTGGCTCTGCCTCCACATCGCAGTCGCTCCAACCACTGCCAGCTCCCTTGACGCTGCTCCGTGCTGTAGCGATCTCCTTGAGAGACGCTAAGGCCATGCGTTGCGGCCTCTTTACCGTCAGCGTGTTCCAGCCTACCAGAATCACGTATCGGAACCACTTCCCGACGACGAATATGGTTGACGCTCGAACACGTTGCTGTTGCTTCTGGAGGTGGCCTTCCACCCCCGTGCCAACCCCTTCCAACCCCAACAAAACACCGACAGACAAGAGAAGAGGCCACAAAACAGACAAGCAGAATGGCAAGAGAGAGACGCTCTGCAGGCGAGCCCAAGGGCCTCTTGGGCCCTCGCGTCTCTCTCTCTCGATTCGTTACACCGATTCGACCATCAATGCGGGCCGATTTCGACCCATCACAAATGTGGGAAGCCAAAAACCTCCTTTGGCTTCCCACACAACCCCCCCTTCCTGGGGGGAGTAGCAAATGAGGTAGTCTCTGCGAAAGCACTGTCCCAGTGCATTCGCCCAAGAGGCTTCCGTGTGTGGACTCGCAGCTCCGGCTGGATGTCGGCGACCTAAAGCTCGGCGGTCGTCGCTTCGCGCCGGCCGACTCCCTGGAGTGCGTGTGTGCGTGTGTGTGCGTGCGTGCGTGCGTGAGTGCGTGTGTGTGTGCGTGGGAATCAGTCGGCGGAGTGAATCGAGGGCGCGGCGGGGAAGCAGCGATCGGGGGACCGCGCCATGTGGCTAATCACGATGTTGTTCGTGTCTCCGGTGTGTCGAAACAACACACTCTCTCTGAGCT